TCACTCTATCCATTGCAAGAAGAAATACCAGAAAAAAGGAAGAGCTAATTAAGAAAAGGAAAAAGATCCTACCAAAGAGAAAACAAATGCTGATTACTTTGTCATCTATAGCTAGGATATTGATAGGATATTGCCGTTTTAAAGCTCCATTTTGTGGTGAAGGCATTACTTGGTGCCTTTACCCATACCCATCAGGGAGTACTAGCCCGATAATAACTTTTTTGATGATTTTTGCCAGCGTGGCATTAAACTCTAAAAAGTTGGTCCAACTATTCAACCTTCAATCTATGTCCATCTTTGTCGACCATCTATTGCAGATAGTCTTAAATAACAAAACTGGACCATTGCATTTAGAATTCAGTTTAATGCGAAAAAAAAATGATAAGTGTTTTAAGAAAATAGAAAATAGTGTGAAATAGCCCCATTAAATGGGGTTGTTCTTAGGCTGGGGCTTTACCATAATTCAGTGTTTTTTTTTTTCCGTACTCAACATGACTCACTTAGAAAGGGCACTTGTTCGAAAGGTCCAGATCTGTAAATGTCTCTTATCAACATATGGAAACAAAGGACACGTTTCGACTTGCTAAACTAAACGTGAAAACCAATTGTTAATAAAAAGCTCTTAATGAGAATTTAGTAAACAGCTCTTTTATGCTTAAAAGCTTGTCTTAGCATGCAAAAATTATGAAGACAACGGAAACTAAAAATACGTTAAGCACTATTTTCAGTGTGTACGAATCAGTGAGTTTTTATATTCTGGTTTGCCCAGCAAGCGACCGCTAAACCTGAAACTGTCAGAGAAGCGCTACAATTTTCGTAAGAGATAAAATTACAATGCTGTTAAGAGTCTCCTTGTTCTCAATCAGTTCCATGTATGCGTGCATGTACGCGTATTTAAGATAACACAATTTGAAGGCTACCCAAGGAAAACAGACAAGTTTGGGCTTGCTGTGCTAATGTTAGAGCAAAGTTGTACTTTTATACTTAAGAAAAGCCAACGTTTAAAAGGAACAACGAAACAGGGCACCTAAAACAACACAATAATCAAAAGTATGAAAACAAAAAACATAATATAACATCTGTCTTTTGTTCGTGTAATTTCATTACTCTGCTCTTTTGCACCTACATGTAACACAGAATAAGAGGCTGAAAAGATTAACGAAGCAAAAACAAAAGAAACAAAAACAAACTCTAAAAGGGAAGCGAAGATTAACCTTAGGACAAACGCTATAAAACTGAAGAACACGTAGCACTGATTTCAGTTCGCAGTGTTCTGGTTCACCTCTCACCATGGTTCAGTACTTGGCTGTTTTCCTGATTCTATGTATTCCTTGCGGTTCACTTGAGACAACCACCTCACCACAGCAACAAAACACCGCAAAGTTAAAAGATTTATGTGAGGTAAGAGGAGAGAACTATTTTACCTTTCGAAAAAAAGGTCACTAAAAGGAACGCCGTCACGCGACTCATTGCTAGCATTCAAATTGAGGCTTTTTCACTTGCACATCTTTATTGTATCATATAAACCACAAAGATACATGAAATGTAATGCAGTTTGCACAGTTTAATTTGTCAGTGTCAACCTTTTGGTCCCAACTTAACTGACTTCCTTTAGGAATTCAAACGGCATTTTTTTTTCAATAAAAACAACGAAGAACTGAAGCGGTGGGTGTGTGACCTTTAGCGTTAAGAGGAACGAAATAGCTCATTCTCACGAATAATGTTAATCTAGGTCATCTTTACTTTCAGAAATCTATACTGGGTCATGGTTTCCCCGGCATTCCAGGATCTAATGGCATGCCGGGAGTGCCGGGCGTGCCTGGGCCGCAGGGGCCCCAGGGAAGAGAAGGTGCAAAAGGACAAACTGGTGATAAAGGATCACAAGGGACGCCGGGTCCAAGAGGAGATAGAGGGCGCGAAGGGCCTTCTGGAAAGAGCGGACCACCAGGAATCACTGGAATAAAGGGTGACCCAGGACTTGTGGGAATGAAAGGAGAGCCAGGCATTGTGGGAAATCAAGGAAGAAAAGGAGACAAAGGAGAGAAAGGAGAAAGCGCCAAAGCAAGTCAAGCAAGTGTAGTACCACAAACCAACTGGAAACAATGTGTGTGGAAATCATACAGCGATACTGATAACGGAAAGATTAAGGTAAACAAGACTTCTGCTGAGTGAGAAACATAGTATGAGTCTATATGCAGGAAGACAAAGATTTCAGTGTAATTTTTTTTTCAAAGGTTTGTTTCAATGAAATTTTACAGCTGTAGGAAGATACATCTTCGTACCACTGTCAGCTGTCAAAGCTGGTAATTTAATTCCTTCTACTGCTGGATAATGATCTTTTATTACAAAAAATTAAACTTTTAAACTTTAAAAAATAATAAAAAATAATGCATGAATTTTGGCTTTATTTCAGGACTGTACGTTCAATAAATTGAAGTCCAATACAGCTCTCAAAGTCTCATTCCAGGGAAATATAAGAATGCGTAGTGATCAGAAGTGTAATCGATGGTATTTCAGATTCAATGGAAACGAATGCACTGGTCCAATGACAATCGAGGCTGCAGTCTACAGTGATTGGCCTGGGAGTCTTCCAAACCTTCATCACCATCGGTCATTTGAGGGCTACTGCGAAAACATTCCCAAAGGGACGGTTAGGGTGGAATTATGGGTAGGACAGTGTGCCAGCTGGAACTTGGGTGATGCTTACACTGGGTGGGTCTTCGTGTCTCGTATAATGATTGAGGAAGTATCTAGGCCACAATCCTAGAAATCAGTGTTGGATCTGCAAACTGCTTTGCGTACATGAGAGTAAATACAAGAAGCAAATATTTTCTCCGTTCAGATCAGATGAGTGCCATGTAATGAATCTAGATCAGTATATTATTATTTTTAAAAAATTGTTATGTGCAGGAAAATAACTATGAATTAACCTTTATCGACCTCCTTTATTTTTATTTTTTCAGCTTTTCCAATTTTGCTTACGGTGACATTTTTAAGCGAGATAAGGTGTATTCTAATAACCCATTTTTTTGCGCAACAAAAAGTGATTACGGGTACTGCATTTAGTTAAAACAATTTCGTGCACAATACTTTTCGACTAGTAAGAATTTCTCTTTTAATCAGCGCTAGTAACATAGAGTTTGTCATGATGTTTGTCAATTCTCCCCACACCCTCTCGTGTTTATATCACGCTATGCAAACACGAGAAAAGCTTATTGCTTAAAGAGTCAGAAAATAGAAAAACTTCCTAAAAAATTTGATTCCACAGAGTCCCCACGTAAAAAAAACTTTTTAAAACCTAATTAAATCCTCAATCGAATAGCAATTCTCACAAATAAATTGATCTTTACCTACCTCTGTTTTGTTTGTTTTGTTTTTGTTTTCGTAAATCAGTTCAACACCGACCGAATGAAAAGCTAGATAGGGTAGTTTTTAAAATTAGCCTTAGTATCTTCAATTCAGCTAAGCTGGAGGTTTATTTACCCAACAACTATCTAGAACAGAATAATTGTGGGGAAATGAGGTAAAGGGTGATAGCGGTACTCAAACAGTTTTTCTGCCGGGATATCATAAACGACAACTTTATTACTTAGCAATTATTCCATAAGCGCGTTGGATATGAGATGGTAAATTACCAACGAGGCCCGTAGCGCCGAGTTGGCTACAATCATCTCATATCCAACAAGAGCGAATGGAATAATTGTTTTATTAATTTTTTTAAACTCCGGACGTCTAGTTATTACAACTGAATTTCACTAAATTTTGATTTAAATATTACAAAACCACCGCATATTGATGTAACTTCTGGTAAACCAAGGGGAAATCACATGACATCGCGCCGTTTGCAAACTAACATAAATAAAAATTGTTATATTCCTAGACTTTCACTCAACTAAACAGGGACTACCATTGGTTGATTCTTGGTCACGTGGCCTTGACTAAAATCAAATGTACACCGATCGTGATACATTAAGCAAAGTACCCCGCTCGGGCTACATTACAGCACGTGATCAAAGCATGGTGGAAATTAGTGTGACAGAAAGCGGGAAAACACTGCCAGTTTTCTTTTTCGTGAATGAGCACAACAACACAAACACGAAGCCTCAAGCTAATAAGCAACGATTTTTTAAAGTCATCCCAGAGGAGAAACAGCACCTAGTGGAGAAAAAAGATGCAGATAATATAAGAAAAGAACTTTGTAAATCACTCATTCAGTGGTTTTGAGGATTAAATTTGTGTTGTTATAAGTACCGAGTCGACTTTTTTGGTTCGCTTTGGCATAGTTAATAGAGGGAATGGTTATGAAACCCGACAAAGTTCTTTGTTGTATGTTTTTGTTCTCTTTTTTGGCCTTGACCCTGCACAAAACACAATAGTTGTTTACTCTCTCCGTACTGAGGAACTAACCAATAGAAACGTGCTGGTTACGTAATTCATGCATAACGTATGAACGCAAAACAAAAGATTGTGCAGGGTCGTGGACCTTCTAACATAAATCTTGGCATCTTTGTTTGCTCTTTTGATGTTTGCCGGGCTTCATAACCAGTCACCTCCATTAACTATGGCTTTGGTTATTCTTTTGTTGCTGTTGAAGTGAAAGTCTAGAAATATAACAAAACACTTAATGTCAGGTCCCTCGGGAAACCAGTTAGTTTGTTTTCCCTAAAGTCCTGATGTTTCCCTCGACTTCGTCTCGGGAAACATTAGGACTCGAGGTAAAACAAAACTAACTGTTTCCCTTGGGATGTGACATTAAGTGTGTAATATGAAAGGAAGCAAATCACACAGACAAAAAGGAATATTTCTCTCATAAAAAAGGAACGTTGATCAAATGTTCGGGTTGAAATCTTCTGTAGAAATTAAGACTTCAAAGTTAAAGTCAAGGACAAGTGTAATAATTGTGCACCTGCACATTGCAATTGTAAGCTTTGATCGCTATGTGACAAGGACACTGTGGTAAAAAAATTCTCAACAAGAACTGTTTTCGCGTTCCCTTGCTGTGACTGCTGTGGAATTTGACGCTGGATATGTCTACCTGATTGCTCATCAGTTTCGTTTTCTTTCTCCATTGAATTGGAGCTTCATTAGTCAATCAAATCACTGATCATGAGAGCGAGGACAAGACTTGTTTAATGGAAAACTACTCGTTGTAGGATTCACTTAAGGCCCGTCATGGACTTACGAAAGTGTAGTAGGTGTAAAAGCTCTTCAAACATGCAAAAAAATAACCTCTAATGGTTTTGAAAACTTACTCCTGCGAGGACTTGCAAGCCATTCTGAAAATTTTAAAGGTAAATTTTGTTGTTGTTGTTGTTGATGTTACATAATCACCTTAAAACTTACAATTTCTTTAAATTTGTAAGGAAACTTCGGGGAGACGTACCATTAAATAATTTCAAACCAAAGTTTGTGGCTTTTTTTGTCGCTGCCAGTATGGCATTTTCCAGCCTTTTTTCTATTTCGTCCGTAGAAAGCTCGCGAAATCTACAGTTTTTTCCACGATTTTGTCCGAGAAGAAATTTTGTTTCCTAGCGAAAATTTTTTAGCTCGACAACACTCAGCGTAATCGTTTTCCATATAAGGTCAAACTAAGGTATATGAGCTGATAACTGAGATTGAGTGAATCAATCAGAATGCTAGAAATGCATTATACGAGGTTGAAAATTTAATAAAAAGATTTATTGTGCGTGTGTCAGCTTGTACGTGATTGGCCGAAATAAATCAGTCGACTGAGGGGATCTAGTTTATTATCGCTTGAAGGATTTACCGCGGGCCTACGGTTATCACATGGAATTTCATTTACATTGACGCATATGTTGCAGTTATTTTTTTTTTGTTTCAGTTAATTTTTGTTTTTCCTTTGTTTAAGGTGGATCGTACCAGGTTTCTCACGTGAGGAGTCCATGGTGCGCGCTCATCCCGCTCCACTTTGTACGGGCGAGATACAGAAAACGAGCATGTCGACAAGCGGCTATTTTTGTGCATGTTTTAACATTTTCGTGTAAGGTTACTTTTGGCCTGTTTTAAATAAAAAAAATTCGTATTTATCTAACTCTAAACATACAGTAAACTCCTGTTTTAACTATATTTTTTTATTAGAATACAATAATTTCTCCGCTCAATGAGTTTCAAATGGAATACTTGCGTGCGATGTGCACTGCGATCGATCGTGAGAGGGATTAGATGAGCAATGACTCTCTTAGCACTAGCAAAACTACAAAAACAATAAACTAGAGTACTAACACAATTAACCACACGTTATCTTCTTGGCTACATTTCGTCGTCTGGATTATGTTTACCCCACTGAAGCTACTGTACAGCGTCCTTACAAGATCGACGAAGAAATTGAAAACTTTAAGTCGATTTTCGACAGTTTCCTGCAAACAATTTTGTCTTTGCCACTTTGCTTTGTCGCTTGAGGTTGAAAAGCGAGTCCAGAAGGCGATGTTTCAAGTTACTAAACGTTACACTGAACGGAAAAACCTAGTAACAATGCATTAATTGGAAGCGTGTAAGTTTTTTCCGCTCTGCAATTACTGTAACAAACTTAATGGATGCCTACGAGTGTACACGCAACAGTCAGCGGTAGTCAACAACGCGCATGAGTAACCCATGTTCTTATAGGATTCAGATTTTACAAGCACGAAGACACGCATGGGAATTTGTGAAATCTTGAAGTATTTTACAAGAAAACATCTCCCGTGACCCCCTATTTTTTTTTGTCAGAGTTGATAGTAAACGACAGAGAAAACATTAAAAAATTCTACGGAAGGAAGTTTCTACTAAATAAAAATGTCCCATTTTCCACTTTCACAAAAAATTCGCTTTGTAGAATTTTCTTAAAATCACTGTGTATTTTTCTTTTCTAATGCCAAAAGTTGTTGTCCAAAACACCGCCTTAGTTTTCTAGTTATCAGTGCTGGAAGCCAAAAAGTAGGTCCAAATAATCTTGAAGATACGTTGCCATGGTAACTGCTAATGACGAAATAATGGTTGTTTGAAGTCAAACATTCATTGTATAATCCATGCCATGGCTTTGGATTGCTTTTTTGCTCTGTCCGTTTAAACTGTCAAAAAAGAGGGAAACTGGTACGAGCCAACTTAAAATTCGTTAGTCCCATTATCATATCCAAAAACAATAGAAAAATAAACTTAACTGCAACACATACAATACAATGATACAAAAAACCTCATTACGTTTTCCAATAAATGTACTCCATAAAATTACATCAGCTTATGAAAGTGGCTGATACAAGATTAAAGCCCTACTTAGATAAAAGTTTGAACAGAATAGTAATAGTAATAGTAACCATGGATAAACCAATAAGGTACCAAACCATGCAAACACAGGCAATGAAGATTTCTTTACGATAACCACGCCTTAACTGCAAAGGAAACAGGTTCACAATTGCGGTCACGAAACCTTCAATACCTGCAAACTTGATTCCGGAAAAATTGAGAACAGTTTAGGGATGCAAGGGTACGATGCATCACACTACTGCCTAATTTAAAGCAAAAAACGCTTTTTGACGTTTTGGTTAAGGAATGTACAAGTAGACGCGTAAACCAATGAATCTACAACAGACAGGTTTTTAAGGACATGCTATCTGCTATCTTTAATTGACAAAAACAGAAAACAAAAACCTAAATTTTCTAACAAATGAACTTCTTTGCCTTGTTGAAAATAAGCACTGAAGTCGCGACAAGTGTGACGGAAGCGCACCCTCGCTGAACAAGCCAACGTCCGTTTTCCCGACAGGATGCCAACGCCATTAAAAGAATAAATTAAAATAAACAAATAATAATAATAATAACTTATATCCACTCTTAATTTAAAATATAATAAATAAAAGCAAACAAACAAACAAAAATTGTCATCTAATGATTTACAAAAAAAATTGCTTCGCCAGTTTTGAAAATTTCATTATTCATTACCGTTTATGGGTTAGGAATTTCTTTGACTTCGCTTTAACTAGCCTCCCACGCAGGCGTTTTTAGGGCAGCTTGTATTTCGTCCCTCCTCACAAACACCTGCTCAACTGAGAGCAACAGTTTTGAAATAAAGTATTGACAGGCTAAACATGACTCATAAGCTAATGGTAGTGTAAAAACGTGACCCAAGAGGTACCTTTTTTCTTCTCTTCTTTCCTTCGCCGTTTCCCCTAAACGCGATCCTTAATCTCTCTATTAATCGTTACCTGAAAAATTATTTTTCTTTTCAGGATGGAGTTGTCTTTACGTGTAGTGGCCTCAAGTTTGGCTGTATGTCTATTTATAACAACTGTTGCAAACGAACATATTACGCTCAAAGATGAATCAAGAATGCTCAGAATTATAAAGTGAAATGTCAGCAATGAAAATGTTTGAGATATCGAGACGGCGATTGATAATGAATTCATTTTTCTCAAACTTCATACATTTGCAACAATTTTAATTTGTTCCTCAGGAATTGAATTTTCGAGGACTACACGTCGTTGAGTGTTACTTTTGAGCAGTGACAACAACCACCTAGTTTTGAGAATCTCAATCAATTTTCCTCCCTTGTCATCGAGTAAAGACCCTGTTCAGGCCTGATCACGAGACCATCCTGATTCCGGGTCGAAAAAATCTGTTTGAAGGGTGGGACAGCAGTGTCTTCTTTGCCAGTGTGACAAATCTACTATGTGAATTTGAGAGGACTATGTTTTTGTCACTTGCCACCGGGTGTCTTAGCGATAATTAGGAAACTTTAGTAACGTGGATGGCGACGGGGGCAAAAACATCATTATAAAAATGAATTCGCATTGTTTCAAACTTGCTGCACTTATTCTGACTCGCTCAAAATGTCAAATACAGATCCATTTTCCTGGCACCAGTTTCTCAAAAGACAATGCAATTGATTTCCAAATACTTACCCACTGGATAGTGTTTTATCCAGTGGATAACGCTATTCTACTTTTGAACAACTGAGATTTGTTGTTGAAGCCTTGGAGACCACAGCCAAGTTTAGAAAGAGGAAGAAATGTTCGTCTTTGTGTGTTTACGTCCGCCATTTAAGGAATTGCACGTGGTGATACTGCAGTGACGGCAGGTAAATGTATCAATGGCGTGCTACGCGTACAAAAACTGGTGTTTTGCTTTAAATACCTACTGTTTTTACGTAATCGTTGCCGTCGCC